TAATTTACTCAGCGAGGTTCAGATGAGTGTATTATCACCAGTTCCTGCTGCTGTGAAGAATCATTTTGCTTATATTTAAGTCCTAACTGCATTGGTACAAGTTGTACTTGTTGCTATTTAGCTCCACTTTCCGTTTCACCCTCCTCTCTTTGCTGGCCTTTGTAAGTGCCACAAGTGTCCCTATGGTTTAGGCAGCAATAGAATAACACAGCAGGTCTTTGCTTTGTCAACCTGCAGCATCACAGACCTTTCTGGATACAGTGTGACAGCAGAATCACCTTGCTTTTCTCAATGGCCCTAAACTACCAGATGGGATATATTTAAAATACTCAGGAGTGGATGGACTCTACAGAACACTGTGCAGACAAAAATCCTCTAGATAAATATTCTTTACAAATAATGGTAGTTGGACATCAATTACACTAAGATCTGAAACGGTTCTTCTTACGAGCTGGCTGCATTCATTATAGCAACTCTGTGCTTGTGCATCCCCAGTTCATTCTACACAACCCTCAGGGATAGGTGAGGATGTTGTTTATTTTTAGTATAGCTTTATCCACATCTACACATTTAATCACAGAATCATGGTGTTGGAAGGAGTCCCATAGTCCAACCCCTAGACCAGGGGTCCTCAAACTAAGGCCCGCGGGCCAGATACGGCCTTTCAAGGTCATTTACCCAGCCCTCGCTTAGGATCAACCTTAGTCTGAAATGACTTGAAAGCACACAACAACAACAATCCTATCTCATCAGCCAAAAGCAGGTCCACACTTCCCATTGAAATACTAATAAGTATTATAATAATACTTATTATTATAATAAGTATTATATATATTATATTATATATAGTATTATATATATATTATATATAATACTAATACTAATATTATATAATAATATATAATAATTATATATATTATATAATTATATATATAATAATTACATATATATATAATATTTGTTAAAATGGTTCTTCATTTTAATTATTGTATTGTTTTTAAGTGTTATTTGCACTACAAATAAGACATGTGCAGTGGGCATAGGAATTCATTCATATTTTTTCAAATTATAATCCGGCCCTCCAACAGTTTGAGAGACTGTGACCTGGCCCTCTGTTTAAAAAGTTTGAGGACCCCTGCCCTAGACAATGCAGGTTCTCCAGCTACACCATCTCCAAAAGGTAGCTGCCCAGACTCCAAGATCTCCAAAGACAGAATCCACCACCTTTCCAGGTAACTTGTTCCTCTTAATGTCAAGAAATTATTTCTGATGTTTCAACATAATCTATCTTCCTATAACTTGAAACCATTAGACCAAGTTATAACCTCTAGAGCAGTGGTTCCCAACCTGTGGTCCGTGGACCAACAGTGGTCTGTAAGAACAAAAAATATGGTCCACGGCCTCACTATTACTACACCGTTGCCACGAAACCACGTGGTAACGAGAGCAACTGGTCTTGTGAAACTCTCTTATAGTGCCAAGACAACAGGGATGTTGGGAGGGGAGAGGCTGGCTACCCACTAAAATTTACTACTACCACATCAGCCCTACCTTATTAAACATGGTTTCCTGTGGGCGAGTAGATGGCGACTACTGGTTGATATATATTCTGTATCAGAAACTAGAGCTGATATGGTCTACCCAATGCAATTTACTGAATCAGCACCCCAAATAACCAAACCAAATCCAAAGTTGATCAAAACCTGATTCCTAACTCTTTTGGTACTAATGTTGGAGAGTGGTCCCTGGTCAAAGTGGTCCCTGGTTGAGTGGTCCCTGGTCAAAAAAGGGTTAGAAACCACTGCTCTAGAGCAGCAGAGAACAATTTTTCACTCTTCATTCTGTAAAAAAGTTATTCTTCAGTCTTCTGCTTACCATGCTAAAAATGTTCAATTCCTTAAACCTTTCCTCATATAGTCCAGATAGTGATTTAAGATTTCTATTTTATTTTTGTATTCAACATTAGCCATTTCAGAAAAGCAGGATATAAATAAATAAATATAATTTACTCTCAGATTGCAATTTAAGCATACAGAATAAGGGGATATTTGATTATGCTTTTCTATAGCAGGTGAGAACCTTTTAAAAATATTTTATTGAATCCATTTCTGTGTTTACATAAATAAAAACTTGGGGAGGGTGAGTGATTTAGTGGGGGGAGGTATGGAAAAACTTTGGGTATAGTTGGAGAGACTAAGGTTAGGGATGGAGGGTTGGGGATGGGGTTTGTTGTTGACTCCCAAATCTCCTTCTCCGCGCTGTATGATTTTTATCATTGATGTAGTTCTCTGGTGAGAAACTTTATTATAATGCTTTTCTATCAAAACAGCCACTGGCATTTTTCTGAATCAGATTTTGACAGTGGGAGGCAGGCACTCATGGCAAATGTACTTGGATTCCATTTCCCAACAGCCATTGGCAGACTTTTCAGGGATGAAGGATCATAGGAATAATAGCTCAATTAATTTTGAGTGGACCATAGGTTCCCCACTGCTATTATACACACTTGCCTAGGAGTAAAACAATTCAGTCAAGTAAAAAGGGAGACACGGAATTGTGCTGTTAACATTTTATCTCAGCAAGCATACACATATATTTTAAAATTAAATAATCTGATTAACCTTGCGAAAATGTGTAATAAAAAACTGGAAATGTGATATGCATATTTCCATTCTTAATCCATTTTCAGAAACTGAAACCAGGATTTCATATATTCCGTGATATTAGAGCTTGACATGATGTGCGCATAGCATTCATTGTTTACTGGAAGGAAAGCATGATAAGAAAGAAAGTATACTTTAAATTTAGATTGATTTAATGTGTAAGCTTGTTATGTCTTACGAGAAATTACTATCTTCTACATGTAAAAAATGGACACAATCCAGCTAGCACGATTGTGCCCCATGGATTTTAGTTGCAGAAAATTACCCTTCATATCAGTTCAGATGCTCCACTCCCTGAGAGTGCATATACATTGTAGAGTTAATACAGTTTGACACCACTTTAACTGCCATGACCAATGCTATAAAATCATAGGAGCTGTATTGTCGAAGGCTTTCATGGCCGGAATCACTGGGTTGTTGTAGGTTTTTTCGGGCTATATAGCCATGGTCTAGAGGCCTCTAGACCATGGCCATATAGCCCAAAAAAATCTACAACAACCCATAGGAGCTGTAATTTTACAGTTTCTTTAGCCTTTCTGCCACACAGTGCTACAAAACACACTAGGGTCACAAAACCCTATTTCAGTGGGATATGTCCAATGTAAGTGTCCCTAGAGCTGCTTCCAACTTTAGGGAGTAGTTGATTCACTGGCTGAAGTCCCAAATGTATTTCTATTCTAACCTTGCAACAAACCATCAGTTCCAGCTGAGGATAACAATAATGATCTTTCTTGGAAAAATTACAAGGATTCGTAAGATAATGTATGTAAAAAAAAATTCAGATAATTATTTCTGTCTGTAATAACAACAACAAGGACATTTACACGGAACATTCTTTGTCTTGAGTTCTTATGAAAACAGACTAGATATGAACTGAATAAATAACAGCAACAACAATATTCTTCTGGGGAGACACAACCTATAACTTGCTTCCTCATTTTTTGGAAATGGGTCTTGTCTGAGGAAGTCCTGAGGAACGACAAGACACTTGGGAAGTAACTACAACACATCTGGGCAGAGTGTGAAAATGTTAGTTTTTAGACTACAGATCTCAGCATGGCTATTACCTAGAGGTTTTTGGATGCTGTAGCCCCTGAAAATAAACTCTCTGAGCACTGCGTCTAAGATTAAAAGGAAACATTTTCAATATGATGTGTCTATGGACCTTAATAAATCTGTATATGACCCTGTTTAACATCGAGTGAAACAGTCCACCTCCAATGACAGATGTGCCAATTGTAATCCTCTGGTTTGCATATCTTTGGTCTCAGCTCCATTGACAAATGATGTGCATGGTGGATAATGACTGGGTATTTTGCCCGCTATTCATAAAATGGCCAGGATCCATGAAACATCATACCAATTTCTTATACCAAAGGAGTCACTCGGTCTGTGTTCTTGGAGACCAGCTCCAATGCCACCTGGCATATCACTTTTGAAAGATGGCCCGGGGGGGGGGGGGGGGTTGAAAGACGTATTGTAACACAGCGTGAGCTACCACTGAAAAACAAAAATCCCTATTGCTTTGACTGGGCTGCTATCAGACCCTAAGGTGGACTTTTTGATCCTGATCATAGGATTTACAGGGACATGCCATTTACCTGTGATTRCCCCATCATTTCTACCACATTCCTAAGGATCTCAAATGTTAAGCATATGTATTATCTACTAAAAGTGTAAACATTTATAAACCAAGTTGTACAATGAAGACTGTTACTGTTGCCTTTACCATACACAGGACCATTTGGATCTGAATAGCATAAACTTGCCTTCCAGTTTGCCTCAACATTTTTGACTCCATCTTAAACTGTGATGCTGTTGCCCTTATGTTGGCAAATGAGATAACATTTCTGGGGATAATAGTTGAAGCACGGGCTTCATTGGCGAGCCTAAAACATGTGTCATGATCAAATAAGACTCACATCCAACAAATATTTTTTTTAAAGCTCAATTGCTTGAAAACAATTCCATGTTGAGGGTATTTTAAAGGCCATTGAAATATCTCCGTTTGAGTAAGATTAAGCCTGTTTACTAGCTGGGCATTGCTCATGTAAATAACTGGCCTCAAATATACATTAAGTGGGGTCTCAAATATTTACTTTACTTTGTTTTGTTTGCTTTAAATACAAAATACAAAACATCAATGTTTGGCAAGGAGTTCTGGATCAAAAATTGTGAAAAGAAAATGTCTCAAAATGCATGTCTGGGCATTATTAATAAATAAGTTCAGAAAGATGTTGTTTTGAGCATGCAAACAAAGCAAAACATGTATTTTAAGATATCCAAAACAGGAGATGGAATATTGTTGTAGCCTAGGAGCAAAACTACTGCACTTACCTCAAACACTTTTGTCAAATTGTCAAAGAGGACTTGACCAGCACTGACTTTATGCTTGACTCCTCTAACTGTACCATTTTTGCTAAGGATGTTGACTCTTTTCATGCCAAATCCCTTCTCTTTGGCAGCTCTCATGAAAATGAGCATGTTATTCTCATTCTCATTTTCATCACATTCAGAACCTAGGTTTCCATTGTGCTGTCCCTCAGTTTCGCTCAGCCGGCTGTTTGGGTCCGTTTCTGAACTGCTGGTGCACTCAGAGTCCAGGGAATCATATATTTCTCCATCCGCATACACTTCCTTTAGCACTCTCCCACTGTGAGAAGATGCAATTCGAAATCGGACTTTCCTTGGCTGCCTCTCACCCTCACCCTTGGTGTCACTCTTAAACATGGTCCCATCCGTCATTAGGAGCTGCTTACATCGTCCTGGTCTAGGTTGTCATCACATTAGCCAGTTTCTCACACTTAAAACAATATCAAAGTTGTTTTCCACTGACAGCAGCACTGCTCATATGAGGCTAACATCTAAAGGAAAGAAGAGAGTCCCAAGAAGCTACTGTGCTGTTCAGTCATTAATAATGAATGCCCATGTGTGCTATGGTTACCTTTAAACTAAAACCTGAAAAATGAGATCGGCAATGAAATATTAATGATCCATTGTGCACTTTTTCAGAAGGGGTGGGGGAAAAGAAAGATTCTACAATTTAAAAAACCAAATAAACAAACCTGATACTATGGCTAAGATATGTGTCAGTTTGCAAGGGCTAACAAGGACACAGAAGTAAAGACCACACACAAAATCCTCCTGAGCTCCAGTTTCCAGAGGACTAGTGGTAGATCCCCGAGGAGCTGATTAGATCTATCTGAAAGTTGATGTCCTCGGATGACATACGCTGGAGCAATCTTAGACCAGGCCACCTGTTACACCTTCGAAGCAGAGTCTTTTGAAATTTCTCAAATAACAACTTGGACTTGCAGTTGAGGCAACTTCATTGTTTGAACCTATATGCAAGTTGCTATTGCTTCCTCCGGCAAGGCTTTTCAGAATAATCTGAAGCACATCTATACATCTCCCACCTGCTCAGTTGTAGCTATAATTACGTATCTGTTTCACTGTGAAGATGGTTCTAAAATCCCACTTTGTAGACATATCTACTGTGCTGTATTGTATTTTTAGAAGGGCTTGGCCTCGTGTTATCCACCCTGAGTCCCCATTGGGGAGATTTATTTATTTATCATGTCAGGAGCAAATAAAACAGTTGTATTGTATTTTTAACAAACAAACAAACAAACAAAACACAAAGTTTGCAAGCTTGGTAGTTGATTAAATGTCCTTTGACCAGTAGCTAGCCACTTGGAGTGCCTCTGGTGTTACTATAAGAAGGTCCTCCATTTTGCATGTAGCAGGGCTCAGGTTGCATTGCAGCAGGTGGTCTGTAGTTTGCTCTTCTCCACGCTCGCATGTCTTGGATTCCACTTTGTAGCCCCATTTCTTAAGGTTGGCTCTGCATCTCGTGGTACCAGAGCGCAGTCTGTTCAGCGCCTTCCAAGTCGCCCAGTTTTCTGTGTGCCCAGGGGGGAGTCTCTCATTTGGTATCAGCCATTGATTGAAGTGCTGGGTTTGAGCCTGCCACTTTTGGACTCTCGCTTGCTGAGGTGTTCCAGCGAGTGTCTCTGTAATCTTAGAAAACTGTTTCTTGATTTAAGGCGTTGATGTGCTGGCTGATACCCAAACAGGGGATGAGCTGGAGATGTTACTGCCTTGGTCCTTTCACTATTGGCTGCTACTTCCCAGCGGATGTCAGGTGGTGCAGTACCGGCTAAACAGTGTAATTTCTCCAGTGATGTAGGGCGCAGACACCCTGCGATAATGCAGCATATCTTATTAAGAGCCACATCTACTGTTTTAGTGTGGTGAGATGTGTTCCACACTGGACATGCATACTCAGCAGCAGAGTAGCATAGCGCAAGGGCAGATGTCTTCACTGTGTCTGGTTGTGATCCCCAGGTTGTGCCAGTCAGCTTTCGTATGATATTGTTGCTAGTGCCCATTTTTTTCTTGATATTCAGGCAAGGTTTCTTGTAGGTCAGAGCATAGTCCAGAGTAACTCCCAGGTATTTGGGTGTGCTGCAATGCTCCAGTGGGATTCCTTCCCAGGTAATCCTCAGAGCTCGGGACATGATTAGTGATAACTTTTGTATCTTGTTCCAAGACTTGTTTTCCTACTGAAAAAAAAGATGATTTGTTTCTCTATCAGCTGCTGTTTACACAGAAGAAATGAGCTAAAAATAATAAATGACAGCAGTGAGAACGCATGATATTTCATCATTTGTAGGGGGGTCAGTGTTTATCTCTATTAACTGCGTATAAGCTTCTTCCTCTTTCAGATTAATGGCTGGATTTGGACAAAAATTATAATACCTAAGACAATACATCAGTGTATGTTAAGATTAGAATACATAGAGTTTAGTGTATTGAATAAGTTGCATGAAAAATCAGCAATTATATTTATTTGACTGATAGATATTAGTCCTTACTCATAGAAGTCGAAGAAAGCTATATATATGCTATAAAGATTTTATAACATTAATGGCTGAGCGCAAGAAGTACCAACATTTTGTTCAGGAGGCAAATGGCTGGGACTTCTCTTGCACAGCCTGAAGCCACGAAACTGTTTTTTCTATGAACCCCTATGGATTTATAATTTGCCGGCTCAGATACACTGATGAAGCACAACATTCAGACTTCAGGTATAAATTCAGTTACATGGCTATGGATGGAATCGGTGAAATCGGATACAGAAAAGTACAATTATCATGTTGGCTATAAATCTTTAAAGAACTTACCCTAAACCTTCAGGCTAATGCAGAGATTTGCTAGCTGTGAGACCAGCAATTGTCTGAAGTGTGAAAACAAGGCATTATACCATCATGGAAGTTTGTTCTTTGAAGTCAATTCTATACTGAAGATTATTTTGATATATATGCTACTGTAACAAAAACCAATATATTAATAAATGTAGTTTGCTGAGCAGCCATTACCCCTATTCAGACCTCTGCAAATAGACTGAAATTTGTTGATATATCCCAATTCAGCTATCATAAATCTTCACTTTAAATTCCTTTGTTCTACAGCTACTTTGAAATCAATCACTGAATGCCTTGGAAGACTGTAACATTCTGATATTGGTTTTAAGGTATTGCTATTTGTAATGCAAGATTGCATCCATTTATTCTCTTATTTAAGATCTGTTCCATTTGAACTATGTAGAGGCATTGAGGGCACAGGATGCATATATCAGGTTGGATGTTGATCAAATCAAGGCATCCTAATGTTATGAATTATTATGATGTGTAATGGTGTACCAGAGTAGATGAGAAGATAGAAGGTGGGTCTACATTGGCTACTAATGTAAGGGCCAGCCTGGAGCATTTGTGGGCCAGACTGGGCATAGCATGGCCAAAGCAGCCGGGTGCTAACAGGGAGCTCCATGGCCAGCAGAGAGCAGCAAAGGTGAGATGGGAATGAGTCCTAACCAACAACTAGAAGGGGTAATTTTAGTTGGAAAAAAATGTTGTGGAAGAAATACCACAATACCAAAGTCTCCCTCTGATTCACTCTAAAGCTGTGAGATGATGATGATGATGACCAAAGAAGATATTAGGCATGAATCTCCATGTCATGTCTAGTTCATCTAATTTGGAATATACCAGTAATGAAAAGACTGTGACGGCGCGTCTGGCGCCACTTGTATGTAATTGTTTGGTTATTTACAGCTGTCTATCAATGTTGTTTTACATCAATTGGCTTGTTCCCCCAGCGAAATTGTTTGGCTCCACCCTTTCCTAGGGAGGAGGGCAGTGCTTTCCTTTTCATTCCACCACAAAATAGCTCAACAGATGGACGTGAGAAAGGCTTGACTCTAAACCCTTAGTCAAGTCATTTCTTACCACCAGTTCTTAAGTTTATACTCTTAAGATTCATACTTCATGCCCAGCTCATCTAAACAACGTTGAGGAATCTTAAGCGCCTTCAAACCAGTCCTTTGACATCAAGAGGAAGGCTTTGTGCCTTCAATATAGGTCATTGGACTGGGGTTGTGAATGTTCCGACTTCATAACCATTGAGAAAGAGGGAACTTGGAAGCTACTCAGCTGGAAAACTCCTTGGACCCAAGACTCCAGAGACTGTAATGTATATTTTCTTTATCCTTTTTGGAACATCAAGTTTAATGCCTTAGAAAGATAACTCTTTGTGAACAAGAAAGCCTATTTTGAGTTATCTATAGTTTCTTGATCCTTGAGAGTTCCAGTTCTCTAAAGGAAGGCAAGAAGCAATCCCCTGGGGAAAAGATGTCACGTCCATGTTTCTTTCACTAAGAACTATAGCCCCCAGGAAGTGACGGCATAAAGACTCCACTATGTACAAGGGTTGAATAAAAAGCAATGCCTCCACCTTCGTAACTCCTCAACAGATGGCAGTACCGGTATGTGGCAGGTACTGGCTTGTTCAGTAGACTCTCTTCTACAGATCCATTTTGGTGGGAAGCCTTAGCATTGAATGGTTATGTTGTTAAAGTGTGAAGTATGGAACCCTGCGCAGACAGTCAGTCAATGGGACTTAAGCTACTTGCAGTCATTGAATTCTTGACAGCAGAAGGTGTCACCTCAACATCTTTAAACTTACTCACCCAATAACGCACAGTACTCACATCAACACAATCATCATAAACAGCTTGCATTCTCTGATGAATCTCCTTTGGGGTGACACCTTCTGCTGTCAAGAATTCAATGACTGCACGTTGCTTAAGTAAGGTAAAGGTTTCCCCAAGTCCAGTCATGTCAGACTCTGGGGGTTGGTGCTCATCTCCATTTCTAAGCCGAAGAGCTGGCATTGTACATAGACACCTCCAAGGTCATGTGGCCAGCATGACTGCATGGAGGGCCGTTACCTTCTCCCTGAAGCAGTACCTATTGATCTACTCACATTTGCATGTTCTCGAACTGCTAGGTTGGCATTGGCTAGGGCTGATAGCGGGAGCTCATACCACTCCCCGGATTCGAACCTGCAACCTTTCGGTTAACAAGTTCAGCAGCTCAGTGCTTTAACCCACTGCACCACCAGGGGTGGCCATTATACTATTATCTGCATATATACACATTAGTTATATTTTTTAAAAAAATAAATTGCTCCTAAAGTTAGCATAGGGATTTTGGTTTACCAGGAACAGATCTTAGACCATGTGAACATATGCTATATAGGAGCATATGTGTGAGAAACATGGATTTCAGAATAATTGAAGATACATGGCCTTATAAAACTCCCACAAATAAAAAAGTTCAGACCAGGGCTACACATGGGAGTGAGAATATTGTTTAATGTTTACTGTCTCTACTGAAGAAATCCAAACCACTATTTTGAAAGTGTTATTAAAATGCACTTTACGAGAGCCTAATTGCTAAGAGGTGGCAGAAACCTGCCCAAACAGTTTCTTTTAGAATAGAGGTGGGAAAGGAAATATAG